TTTTTATTGATTAGAGGCGTTGCAAACGCCGAGATATGGATCTTTATCGGGGAGAGAGGAAGACCGAAGTAAGTTCAAGGGAAGCTAGACACAAGGTGGGTGTCAGCCTCAGAGGGAACATGCACATGGACGATTGCCGATTTGCAAAATTAATCAAGAGCCGGGCGATAGAGGCAAAGTCATCAAGGACATGCTTGAGGCAACAAAAAGTGTTGGCATCTAAATTGAAAATGATGAGAGTATCATTGACATACAGAAGGATGGGACACACTACTACCTCTACCAGAGGGTTGAGAGATCATAGATCATCCCAGCGGAGCAAGCTTGCTAAATTGGCCATAGGAGGACATGTGCAACAATAATAAATAAGTAGGGGGAGAGTGGGTCGCGCTGTCGAAGCCAATTGCGACACTTGATCTAAGTTACCGGGAACTACATGGAGGAGAATGGCCGTGTGCCAGGGCGCGCTGTCGAAGCCCATTGTGACACTTGATCTAAGTTACCGGGAACTCCATTAAGAAGAATGGCCGTGTGCCGGGTCCAGAAGATCAGATTGGGCCGTTATACCAAACTAAATTAGGTGTGTCAAGGCTCTAGGTCATACATACATGAGGTTGTATCGTTGGCTAAACCATAGCATGCTAAGTACTCTCTGTCCGAAAAAATTTGTCCCTCAAATGAACGTATCTAGCACTAACTTGGTGCTAGATACATCCATTTGAGAGACAAACTTGAGACAAGTTTTTTTGGATGGAGGGAGTAGTTTTTAAGGCTCTAGGTCATACATAGACGACGTGGCCAATTAACGGCTGTTGCCCTGTTAAGTAGTGATTAGAGCCACCACCGTCATACGTATGGGAATAATTCAATAGTCTCTCTGGTCCTGCATGGATAAACCAAGCAAATAAAATGAAAAAAAGAAAGGAAAATACGAAGCACGCGCGTGGGGCTGCAATTGTGCATGCAGCTGCAGCAGGGTTGATCGGCCGGCTTAACTTTGTACTGGCCGGATAGTTGGGCTGCGTCTGGGTCTGGGTCGGTAGATGGACGGTTCAAGTCTTGTGTCGTTGGGGTATCGTCTCTCTTCCAAGACACTCTACGGTGACCTGGGATCTAAAAAGGTCCCTCTCCAACATATCTCCCTCCCTGGCAGCCCCCTCAACACAATCCCCCCGTCTCACGCGCGCGCACACGCAGCGCATAGTGCCATAGTGTGGTGTGTGGTGGGACGTCCTCATGGCCGGGAATCAGCCGGTTGCCCTATCTCCACTCCACCCCGCGCCCCGTCGCACCTCTCCCACGCCTTTTCTTGAGCTCTAGCTAGTGTTCCCTTTCTTCTTCTTTTCGTTCCTCGTCCCCACCACCTCCATCGGTCCATCCCAAGCACGCACGCACGCACGTACACGTTGGGTTGGGTTGGGTTCGGTTAGCTCTGTCGCCGTTCCTTGCATCTCTCTCCTGGCCGAGAGTGCGACTGTACGTACATTTCCGTTGTTGGTAGTAGCTTAAGGTTTTGGCAAGTGATCACGCGAGCGAGCGCCCCACTAATTGCATCCAAGGAAAGAGAAAACGTGCATGCTGATGCACCCATCCATCCACGTCAAATGTACTACTGCCCGGCCCGCAGCAGCTGGTTTTACCAACCGATCCGTCGCAGCGACGGTGAACAGTGGTCTTCCTGGCCAGGCCAGCGGCCGGCCGGTATAACATATAGTAGTAGCTAGACCAAAGTACATCTCCCTCGATCGGTGGTAGTCGGTCGGTCGGTTCACGTGCTATTTTCGACGGGCCGTCGTCCATACCATATGTTTGGTACACGGCCGCCGGCTGGTCGGTCGTGGCAGATACTCTAGATGCATGACGAGCTTTTCTTGGAACGTAAGCCTTGGCGGTGATCATGCTGGGCTAGCTAGTTAATTGCGGCTGCATATATGTTGTGTGTGCGGCTAGTCTTTTGCTTTTGAGACGTGTAAATACCAACCACACACACACGTCAACAACTACTCGATGGGTGGACTTGACGTACACATCAGATGGATGCGTGGATGTGTACGCAGCAACTCGCGTGCGATAGCTAGCTAGCGGGGCCCGGCCCGTTCCGCGGTCGCGCGCAGAGAATCCGGCTCCGCGCCTGGTTTCCGGCTCACGTATACGGCTTGTTTGCCCAGACTTGAGGGCCAAGCAACCGCCCATCATTCGCCCGGATCCCCTCTAGTTTCTTCTCTTATCATATTCCTCTCTCTCTCTCTCTCTCTCTCTCTCTCTCTCTCTCTCTCTCAACACATTGACACGTATAAACCCATAAGCTGGTGGTGCTGCTGCTAGCAGTTCCATCTATCGATCGGGGTAGGCAGCAGCAGCGATCTTGTCCGGTCCGATCTTGCTTGCGCGAATTCCGACCTCTTTATTAATTTCTCCTTTGTGCCTGCCTCTCAACCTGGTCTCTCGTCATCAATCAATCGAGCCATGCATCAATCCATCTCTACTTGGTAGTACAACTAGCTCGCTCGTGGCGATCGATCTCCTTGGCAAGCAACAACCCAAAAGTTGGTGAGAATTCTATTCCTCTGTACCAGATAGAGAGAGAAACCCAGCACCCAGCAGCAGCAACAAGCGCAGGCAATGGTAGCTAGCTTGTAACAGGGACAAGCTTCCTCTCTAACCTCTTTTTCTCTTTGTTCTCTTCGCAGGCCGCTTTGTTCCCTCGCCCGCCCTCTTTAGCCAGCCACCAGCCCCGATCTCCCTCGATCTCCTCTCCTCTTTTTACCCTGTCACTCATTCCCTCCCAGCCGGCAGGGCCGGCCTTGATCCTGCCACATATGGGGACGGGCTAGCAAAGCGGAACTGCGGACACCGAGAGGCTTTCCGTATCTTCATCCATCCATCATCATTAAGTACGTGGTGGTGGGGCGCGGGAGTGCCGTGTCGGCCGGCCATGACATGGTGCAATAGCTTCAACGACGTGCGCGCCGTGGAGAACAACCTGGCCTCCGCCGCGGCCGTCGCGGCGGCGGCCGCCAAGAAGCAGCAGCACCACCAGCAGCAGGCCTCCTCCCACGTCAGCCTCGTTAGGACGTGCCCCGCCTGCGGCCACCACGCGCAGTATGAACAGGTGCGTACCAGCTCCTGCACGCCATCTCTCCGAGTCTGAGTGAGATCGCAGCATGACTATATGATGATCAATCAATCATTTCCATGGATGGATCAGTTGCAGGCGGCGTCGACGATACAGGATCTGCCTGGGCTGCCGGCCGGCGTCAAGTTCGACCCCACGGACCAGGAGCTGCTGGAGCACCTGGAGGGGAAGGCCAGGCCGGACACGCGCAAGCTCCACCCGCTCATCGACGAGTTCATACCGGCGATTGAGGGAGAGAACGGCATTTGCTACACCCATCCGGAGAGGCTTCCAGGTATTGTTACACTCAAACACACACGTACGTCCTCCTACAATACTACGATCGCCAACATATACACGTTTAACATCTGACCGGCCGCCATGTGAGTCTCGGCGTGGTTACGTACGTAGTACTGTACATGTTATTAGTTGCGCGCGCTCTAGGGGCTTGCGTTACATCAAAAACTGGTAGGGAAAGCGCCGGATTTCAAAAGGAAAAGATTTCGGATTAGGACAAGTCGGGGGCGAGAGAGAGAGTGATTGTTGATCCGTCATGGGACACTGCTCACAAACTCTTTTGGTTTGATATACAATATTTGGGTTTAAGTCGTTTTCAGTTTGGTTTCCTTGCCCTTGCTTGATCGGTACTCTTCTAGAACAAAAAGAAAAGAAAATTGCATAAGCGTATGTGTTGCGTATTTGTTTTACCCTTGCTTGATCGGTACCCTTGCTTGATCGGTACTCTTCTAGAACAAAAAGAAAAGAAAACTGTGTTGCGTATTTGTTTTGTGCTTCTTTGTTTAATATATATAGTATAATAGTATATAGGTGTGCATCTGCGTAGCCCATATGCATTTGCACTGGTGCACGATACGTATAACTCAATAAAGGTTGCCTTTCAAGTAATCGCTTCTCCTACATATGGCATAAGTATATTAATTCCACATTGCAAAAATGAGATCGACGCAAGGTGCCATCAAATGTCTACGTCATGCAGGATGCACGCAACATCAGACTAAAGCAAGGAAATATGAAGTTAATTTGAAAGGACCTGTGATATGGATGTTTTTTTTACTTAATTATCATTGTTTTTCAGATTAAGAAGCATTGTTTTATCTCAAAGTTACGTGCTTCCGCACTCCATGCTTATATTTATGTGTACGCTAGCTGGTCATTGTTTAATTATTTTGCCAACATATATATGAGGAAACATTTTGCTTACGGGAATGCATTATCTTTACCCCAAAATTTAAGGTCTTATTTTGATCATGCCAGGTACAAATAAGAATATACAATAGATCAGGCACACACGTCAATCCTCTCCTATTGTTTTCATTTTGTGACCAAAAGAGTGATGAATGACATATCATTGCTATATCATTAATTTATCAGAATATAAGCCAAGCATTAATGCCCTACTTAGTTTTTCTGTAGGAATTAGTAAAAATGTATAGAAAAGGAGATTGAAATATAAGTTGGTAGTAACTAATAAGATTTATGAATTAGTAATAAAATATAGATGCATTTAATACCTTGTGGTGCACTTGTTTAGTTATAAGTTCTTAATGAAAAACATTCACAGGAGTATTTACTTTTACCACATGTTTTAAAAAACTATTTAGTTTTAAACACTACATTTTATTCAACCAATTAACACACTTCTTTTTGGGTAATAGAAC